GTAGTTCAAACTCTTAGCTTTAAAATGGCTACTTGCACATCTCCATATGATTTGTCTACAATTTATGGTGATTTTTACAAAACTGCCTGTCATTTCAGAGGCAAACCCGGACCAGTCTGTGATTATGAACATTTTCACCTCTGTTAGAGATCACTAAAAATCATGATAAATTTACGAACAAACTAGACTCATATTCCAAACTCTCAGAATTTGCGGATTTGGATTTAGAGCTTTGATGATTTTTCTATAAATTTTCTAAGAACAGTAACAGAAACTGTATTCAACGAAAAGTTGCTGTCAATTTCATTTCACCTTGTAACATGTTGAGCAAGGTGTATATCTTTATGTGATTATATGTTATTGCAATATATGACATTTTATCTTAATATTTAGACACACATCAGTTTACAAATGGATTTGGACATATAAAATATAAAGAATAACAAGTGATTATAATCAAAGTACAACCGATACATTCAAACATTTAATAAACTATTTTGAATATAGTTTGCATACATTACTACGTACTACCCTTGGTTGATAAACTATAATAGGTATAGTTTATGATACATTACATAAACATACATTTAAAAAGGGTACATTTATACAAAGGATATTTTCATTAAGCAAGGTACGGCCATACGGTACCAAGTTTTCATAACACGTAATTCCGTTAATGACTTTGTGAGACATTACTTCAAATTACCATTAAGTCTGTATTGTAACCAGAGTCTCCTTGAGGGAGAGCGTGATAGTTGTGTATAGATCTATATTGGGTTTGACAAACCCACACCTAAACTGCATGCAACAGTTAGACCGATAGGTCTGGGGTGACAAATGTCATAACATTTCCGACGCCTGAAGAACGTCGTTTTAGGCAACCTTGGTCATAGTATGGTTATAATAAACTCACATAAAGTATTAATAAACATTGGAATTTACGGGAACTTCATTAAAATTTAACGAGTTTATGTCGATTTAAACTTGCATTGTTTTACTATAAATATGACAAATTACTTGTACATTTCGGTCTTTGGGTTTTAAGACTACATTTACACATTAAGGAAAATATTGGATTTTCTAACACAAATACTACTTTTGCAAACGAAAGGCTTTTAATAATACCAAACAAAAGCTTATGAACTCACCAACCCTTGTGTTGACACTTTTTCAAACAACTTGTATTCTCAGGAAATCATTAAACAGGTAACCAAGTGCATTTGAGGATGGGACGCTAAGGCGTCTACTATTTCATATTTTGTCAACATAATGTAATTGATTCGTAAACATGTAATTCATACAATGATGTAACTTTTTCAATTATATATATGTTGGTTGGGTTTGCTTGGATTACTATTACAATTGTTGTTATGATACTATACATGAAGTCCTCCACCCCCGGACGTTTCCGCCATCCTTGGTTTGGGGGTGTGACAGAACATGACATGTTCTTGACCATTAAGCTATTCTTTCAGACCCTAGGAGGGGTCTTAAGTCATAAAAATGGGTTCTAATGGTTAGTTTTGCTTCATGCATCATTTAGAAGGTCTTAATGGAATAAGACCTTGAGTTAAGCACTTATTGGACATGCTAAGTCATAGAGTTGGAGACTTTATGACTCCTAAGAGTATTTTAGCCATGGATATGAATTATGGAAGTAAGAGCTTTATCCATTAAGCTCTTAATGGATTTTTGGACTTCCGAGGGTACGTCCCGCGTACTCGGAGTATGCCCTGCGTACGAAGTCAACCACCCCGGTGGTGGTCAACATGTGAGGCTGCGTGTACGCCCAGCGTACTTTCGGAGTACCCCCCCCCCCCCGCATACGCACCCTGAGTTCATTCGGTTGAGTTGACTCGGTTGGATTGACTCGGCTAGGTTGACTCGGTTGACCTAGTTGGTTTGACCAGTTTGAAATTGACCAAGTTTGACCTTGAGGGTATTTTGGGTATTTTGGGATTTTGATGGAAATCGGTCATTTGGTGGGAATAAGTGTCGGTTAGAGAGCTGAGATTCGGAGTCTAGACCTTATCAGCATTTGTCCAGTTTGTGAGGTGAGTTTTCCTCATTGTACTTGCGATTCGAAGGCACCAAGGCCGGCCCTTTGGATCTGATATCCTATTATGTATGATATTGTGATGTAGTGATCTGTTAGATTGGTATCCTGGTATATAGGATGATACTATGCTTAGTGATTTGTAGATCAGTCTGACTGTTTGTAGACTGTTATATGATTATCTGTTATATGTGCACATATTTCGTCGGTGGCTAAGGCTTTACTGCTTTGTGTGTAAGCCAACAGGACGGGGGTATACCAACCCGAGGTTGAATGGGCCCAAGGGTATTCCACCCCGATGATGATAGGACCTGTTGTAGATTGACATTCCAACCCGATGGTTGATGGGCCTGGGGTATTCCAACCCGATGGTTGACTTGACCCATAGTGTATTGGCATTCCAACCCAATGGTTGATGGGCATGGGGTATTCCAACCCGATGGTTGATTGGGCCCGACATTGTTGTTATTGTATTTGTTATTTGTTTATGTGTTGGTACTTTGGGGGATCTTAGTAAGCGTTGGCTTACAGTTTTGGGTTATGTTTCAGGTACTTCAGATGACTGCGGGAAGGCGAAGGCGTGACTGTACACATCCTCATGTTTTTTGACTTATGATTTTGGGAGACTCTGATGTTGAAAATGTTTTGAAAACTATGATTGTAAACAATTTGTGAAATTGGTTAGTTTTAAAAAGTTTAAATTTCTTGTGATTTTTATAGGTGTTACACATCCCATTTAAGAAGAAGCCATTAAGGTTTATGAATCACCTACAACCTTCCCTCTAACCTTTCTTTAATCCATCAAAACATATCTAAAATTTGCTAAAAACATTTTTCCCTTCAGGCAGAGAATTCACATCTAGTTTAATAGTTGATTATGGATTTGATCTTCTAAGTTCCTCACCATATGACCAGATTTTGGAATAGTGCTCTACAAGTGTAGCCTAAATGATATAAAGTACACGTTTCTTTGCAATCCTATGTCTCATACTAACCTCCATTCCAAATTTCTTTTTCACATACTCGTGAAGTTGCCAAATACTCATCTTCTGTTTGTGTAAGAATTCAAGTATGAAATGGCTACCAATCCAAACATAGTTAACAAATGATCATAACTTCAATTTTCTAGCATAATTATGATCACTAATTATAGCTTTAATTTGGAAAGAATGCTCATCATCGTCTATGAATCCTAAATCCTAAAACTACACTGTCCAAAATAAAATTTCACCAATAATCTCATACTATCATTTTTTATAACATAATTGATACCCATTAGCAACTGTATAATTGTAAATCGTATGTTTAATCTGTTTGGGACTTTCAAACCCCATACCTAGAATAGGCTTCTATTTTTTTCTAGTGAATATCTTCATTGAAGGTTGTCATCACATCAATTTTTGGATCATTCTCAGCCATCACAACATCAAGCCATCCTCAGGTACTTTTCCTAAGATTGGATTCTCCTTACTCCAAAGTTTACTGAGGAAAGAATCATTCCTAGTCTTGTTCATAAGAGTGACATCATTATGGTCACTCTCAAAATCCAAGTCTTCAACCACATCTTCTGCCAAATCCGAAATCTGACCCGTATCTTCTTGCGCATCTCTAACATTTAAGTGGTGGTTCTCAAGGATACATACTTTTGTTTTACCTTCATGTAGCCACTATTTCATATTAGCCCCACGATGATCTATGTACATATCCAGTGCACACCCACAATTGTAACCAACATTAATGAAGTCAATGTGGTCAAGATTTGTTTCTATTACCTTCAAACCTATTGGAAAACAATATTCTCTTAAACAATAATACACCTTCAGACATCTCTTGTCAGTATATTTTTCCTAAAATTCATAACTTTCTTGTCCATCCCCGCAAAATCGATATCTTTAAACAAGTGATGTATGCCATCCGTGTACATTAGAAAATGGTATCTCGAAAATATACCTTAAAAATGAACATCGAGCTTCATGTACAAAGCCTTTGTCGACAAAACCAAACAAGGATAGGCAGAAAAGGGTTTCTAGTAAGAAGGAGAAACGAGAGAAATGTTAGTCATTAACCAGAAAGTGCTTTTTAAATACGACACCTCCAGAATGACATGTCAAACTTCATAAAATGAGGTGGCCTAAACGTTTTAAAATAAATATGGACCGTTAGTTGGACTAGAGTGACATTAAGCATTTACATTAAATGATAAAAAAAATATGTTACAATAATATTGAATGTTCAATAAATAAAAAACAAATAATAATTGGCTATAAAGAACCTCTCAATGAACAAAGTTTTTATGATCATGAATGATGAATTTTGTTTTTTAGACAAAATTTGATAATATTAATAATAATAAGAATCAATGTTTATTAGGACCGGGGAATTAATCGTCAATAATTTTTTCTGTTAGTTTGTTTTCAAAATTATGAACGCCTTAACGCTACGATAATCAAACACATCAAAGCCCGTCTGGACCCACTTTATATAACCCATAAACTCCTTTCAAATCTTGTATTTATTATGTTTTAATGGACGATATCAATTCACAAGAAAATTACATCTTACATTGTTCACCACTACGGCATAAGCAACCAACCAACCAAAAAAAAAAAAAAACGAACCAACCAAATCATCCCCACCACGGCATAAGCAAACACAAAAATGGGACTAAAGAAATGTGTACTGTTACACACTTACCCATCCGTTGTTTTAATAAAATCAAATTAATAATTGATTAAAATCATGACAAACATCATTTTACAGAAAGGTGGGTGTCTCTCATATATACTTTATGTATATATAATTAGGTTATATATATATATATTATATATATATATATATCTATATCTATCTATATATAATATATATATATATATATATATATACATAGAGAGAGAGAGAGAGAGAGAGAGAGAGATTTCCTGATTTCTAGGGTTAGGTATCGACGATGAACAAAAGGAGTAGTTCTGGTGGAGGGCAAAGTTCTTTAGGGTACCTGTTTGGGTCCGATGACTTAGGGAAACAACAATACGATCAATCTAAAGTATCACCACCACCAGTTTGTATGCCGCCATATGGCACTGATGATACTGATCAGAAGTCACCGGAAAAAGCCTTAACTCCTATTACCAAGAAAGGTGACTCCACCTCTCCCAAGAAATATATATATCATGGAGATGGTAATAAATCAAAAGAGTTTTTGGTGACTGTAAGTCTCTTTATATATTCACTCTCTTTTAATCAAATTTTCTTAACCTTTTATGGAACATTGACCATTTCCTATGATGATATGATTACAGGGCCGACCATCGACAAAGGTCAACTCAGTTCCTGGTGGAGATTCATCACTTGGCTACTTGTTTGGAGATAAGTGATGATCATTATAGTCTTAAATATAACTATTTTATATATTATAAAGATGAAAAGATGATGATCAAAATATATAATTCGTATCCGTTGGAGCATGAAATCAAAACCGGGTGAATAATGATGTCATTTTCCGATGCATTAGGGCGTTTTCCTCAGAAATTAATGTCTATCTAAAATGGCGAAATTCCTGTAGGGCTAACATTGAGAAGGGCAAGTTTGGAATTTTCTTGCTTTACTTGGAGTGACTGAAGAGGTTTAGGGTTGTGAAGGGTGTGCCTGGTATTTGTTAATATTTAATTACATTTTCTGTGTATTATAATTATTTGAATATCAAGAAAATAATTTGTAATAAATGTGTGCACTACTATGAAATAAAATATTTATTATTGTTATGCAATTATGCAGTACTAATTGCTTGTTATTTTAGCTATTTATTAATTAATTGTTTTATCTTAATTTTATTCTATAAGCTACTTTAATTTGATTTCTTCAGAGAAATATCATACATATTATAAAAACAAAAGTGTGATTATGACAAATTTGACAGGAGGTTGAAATCGATATTCTCATTCATTAAACCCGGAGATATAAAACAAAGTATATATACTGGAAAAATAACAAACCTAGAGAAACTAGGAAACGTTTTAAAAAGATAAACTATAATAAAACTAAGATAAGTACTTGTTGAATAAGATAACTTCAATACTTCCTCTCAAGTTGGAAACTGAAGATCACGAACACCTAACTTGCCACGAAGATACTTGAAACGTTCTGCTCCAAGAGCTTTAGTAAATATGTCGGAAGGTTGATGTTCAGACTGAATGGAAAATGTTTGTATCTCTCCACTGGACACTCGCTCTCAAATGAAATAGCAGTCCATTTCAACATGCTTTGTGTACTCATGATAGACAGGTTAGTTGCAATATGGCGAGCTGCCTCATTATCACACATCAACGGGGTAGCTCCTTTTTGAACAGCACCTAGGTCACAAAGTAACCACCGAAGCCATAATACCTCACAAACAGTGTTGTCATAGCTTGATGTTCGGCCTCTGCAGAAGATCAAGCAACAACACTCTGTTTCTTCGTTCTCCAAGAGATAGGAGACCCACTAATGGTTATAAAGCAACATCTGCAAGATCTTCGCATAGACTGACAACTAAGCCAACTAGCATCACAATAAGCCATTAAATCCAGACCAACGTTAGTTGGTAAAAATAAACCTTATCCTAGAGTGGCCTTTAAATAGCGATGAACTCTGAAAGCTGCATCTATATGGGTTTGTCTTGGTTTACTCAAGAATTGACTTAACTGATTGACATTAAAAGATATGTCAGGACGGGTCACCGTGAGATAAAGAAGTCTTCCAACAAGCCTTCTGTATTTCGAAGCATCCACTTCTGGACTGCATCTTCCTTTTCCAATTTAAGATTTTGTTCCATAGGAAAAGCACTAGGATGACAATCTAGAACATGACAATCTTCAAGAATGTCTAGAGTGTATTTCCTTTGACTGATCACAAAACCTTGTGGGGATCTAGCAACTTCGATACCCAAAAAAGTATTTAAGTGGGCCCAAGTCTTTGATACTAAATCGTCTTTGTAAGTTGTCTTTAACCTCTTTGATTTTATAAGCATCGTTTCCCATAAGGAGAACATCATCAACATAAATGAGAGAAACAACATGTGTTGTCTTTGTTCTGAAAATGAACATAAAATTATATGCTTTCGATTATTGAAAGTGATCACTACGAAGAGCACTAGTGAACTTCTGGTACCCGTTTCTAGAAGCTTGCTTCAAGCCATAAATACACTTTTGAATCTTACAAACACGATTTTCTTCTGTTTTAATGAATCCTTGAGGAATTTTCATGTAAACCTCTTCTTGTAAGTATAACATAGACGTTCAGTTATCGTGTTATGTATTTTTAAAAGTGAAAAATATAATGAAATATTATATGAATTTGAGCATTGAGTTCTAACAGATAGTTTTTACTAGAAGTAAAGTAAAACTATGTTTAGAATCACTCAGAACATATTGGAAGTCTTATGAGATTCCAATCTAATATTGAAATTTAACGAAAATATAAAATTTGAAATAAGTAAAATTTTATTATTGAAAGTTGTAAAGAATCTCGTTAGAAACATTTAGGCGAAAACCTCAACAAAATCCAAGTTATAACGACGAAGTAATAACCAAAAGAAGATCCGCGACAAAACCGGCACGACACCGAATGACGTAAAAACTGAGTTTTTGATAAACTATTTTTTAGCCTTGGTGATCACAATGAAAGTCGTAGTATTCGTTAAACCGAGAATTTTCATAACAAGAACGTCCAAATCTGTCTTCGTATTAAGAAGTTATGATTTTTCTAAGTTTCGGAATAGCGGTAGACAGTTAAAACTCGAAATAAATATCGAGTGATTTTTAGCCAACGCAACCTAAACGAGAATCGAAGGTCTCATCAATAGTAGTACAACGGTAAAAAGACACACGAAAACGGACGTCGGATGAAGAAGTTATGAATTTTTAACGAACTTTTCCTGTCCAGGCCCGTTAAAAATATAATATTAAAAATGAAGTCAAAATTAGCCGACGGAGTCTAAATAAAAGTTATAGAGACCTGACTGCATTCACGACGTATGCATTCACCTATGTGTGGATATAAAGAACGTCAAAAAAGGAGTTCGTATGCGAAAGATATAAATTTTTGAAGTTCGGAGCACAAACTTCGAGACCTGACTGCATTCACGACGTGAACACATTGTTCACGACGTGAACTCAATGAACGACACATTTTGAGCCTAGAAGACACATGGCAAGCCTAGGGGATGACCGGGATCAAAAGTCACGACGTGAACATACATGGTTCACGACGTGAGAGTCGAATTTTCAGCCTATAAACAGGAATCGAAGCCCTCCGGTTTTCGGTTACAATTTCTCACTCTCTCTCTCACTTTTTACTCTCTTCCAAGCTAATTTTAACCCCATAAAGTCCCGGTATCATCCCTAAAACCCGAAGCAAGTCCCGACGCCCCGAAGTTCCCAAGAAAATCATCTTTCCAGTCGAAACTCTGCCCGCGTAAAGTCCGGATTTTAACTAAAATCCTTGGTTTCGTCAAAGAAAGTCATATATAGAAACGAAGTGCTGCCTGAATCGTCATATCATTATTCGGTTAATTCACGGTGAGTTCAATATATAGGAACAGTTGTATGTTATGTGTTATATGCGCTATGTGCTTTTCTGTGTTATCATCTTGTGTTATTGTTTCTGCTATTTTGATAGCAAAGCTGTACCTTTGGCCATGTGATCAGTGAAAGGACTTCGATTCACAGTGGTATTGGTATGTAGCCTCTGGCCATGTAGAGCATGTCTCTTAAGAGAATGACTTCTATTCTATGACATTGGCAGAAGGTTAGACAGGGCTGAAAGCCTGAAATCTACCAAAATGTTTAATCAGAAATTGTATGTCTTCTGTGCCATTTGGGCCGAAGCGTTATTGGTGTATATCAAGTATTGAAATTGTTATGTCTTATTGATTGATATGGAAAGCTTGTTGCATGATTCATATATGCCTTTGTTGTTCCTTGTACCCCTTTGTTTCTGCCATATTAAAGTATATATATGGCATAACGTTATATTGTATCTATTATTGAACTCACTAAGCGTCACCGCTTACCCCTCTCAGTGTTTAACAATTGCAGGAGATAAGTAAACAATATGGTCGTATACTGTTGGAAGGTTTAGAATGGTTATAATATTACTTTTGTATTTAGGGATCATGTATGTATAAAAGTATAGTAACCTGGGTAGTTGTGTAATATGTAACACTTTGTAATAGTCGGTTTGTATCCAATAGTTTGTAATCAGTTTATCAATGTAAAATATTGTTTTTATGAATATGCATGTAGCATGTTTTGGAGTGACAATGTCTTTAGTACGAAAGTTAGGGTCTTTCAATCATGGTATCAGAGCAATAGTTTAAGTGAACTAAATACCACGGATTGGTATTTAGACTTAAACAGTTGGAAGTTCAATATATGAACAGATTCATTATGAGTATATGGATACAAACCATAGGAAAGACTTAAGTCGGGTATTGGGTAGTGGTAAACCCTAGTATTCTAAAATATTAAGTTACTTTAAAAAATTTCAGAGAATTAGTTTAAGTGAACTAGGAATTTTGAGAATTTCTAGATTTAACATAGATTGTTAAGGGACGATGATACGATGTGTATCTAGTATACTTTAGGTTGAATACCTAAATGGACAAGCACTAGAATATTAGAGGAGATATGCCTTATATTCTAATACTAGGTGTGAGACCCGTGTATTACACAGGTTTATTAGAAGGACCAAAAGTAATTGTGTGAGCAAAAAAGACCATTCACGTAAGTTTTGGGAACCATAAGGAACATGTTCATAAAAAAAATAAGTAACGACTGAGTTTATAACCTTTGGTAACTACATGGATCATTCATGTAATTTGGTCTTAATTAATCTATACTAATAAAATTTATTAATATGAATTTACAAATGGAATGTACTATCTATATTAATATACATATACGTTAATTAATATATTAATGGAAAAATGAATTCACAAATAGAAAGTTATTATGTGCATTAATTAATCTATTAATAAAATTAATTAATATGAGTTGGCATTTACTAGGTGGAATTTGAATAAAAAAGAAAAAAATTATAAAAATGACAAGTGGATATTAAATAATTCAAAAAATCTAGAAAATGACAAGTGTCGAGATGAAGGAGAATAAGACATGTGGCAAAATCATTCTTATTTATTAGGGTAGATGTGCTAAATGATAAATGAATATAGCATGCCTTAGGTTCCTTACTTATATTGCTATTACTTGAGAAAGTTTAAGGTCTGTTGCCGACCTTGGTTTGGAAGTGAAATTCCTTTCGACTTAGGAAAAATATTAGGATATTCTAGATCGAGCTTATGCATAAAAGAATTCTAGAAAATGAATTTAAGAAATCC